TCTGCCCAAGATATGAGATAATTGTCATTCCAGGGAATGGGAAAATTGTGAAGTGTTTGGATGTGAAAAAAACTAATAACATTGCTTTCTGAGCAAAAACTGGATTAAGATTATGCATGAAGAAAAAATTATTCACGAGCTTATTGGTCCTCGGAGTTCATTCAAAACTGATAATACTTAGAAATATTGAAAATGTGGGAGAATTTTTTGAGAAATTCTGAACATTACTTATGATGGTTAAAGCCAGTCTTGTTTGATTGCACCTTCCGATTTCTTGATGCATTTGTTTCTGGTGGTTCACTGTGAAAAAAAAAACACAAAGATGTTAATTAACTTTGGCTTCGGGGAAAAAGAAAAAGAGGCTGTGTTGTTGGAGGCTAAGGTTTGTTGGATATGATAAGAAAGTTTTGAAAATTTAGAAAACCATGCTCTTCTTAATGCACACCAGCAGAGGAACACCACATATAGCCCCATAAAACCCTGCGAGTCAAGAATCCAGCATCACCTGTTTCAGGCAAATATATGTATACATATGTATTAATTATTCCACTACCACAAATGAGCCTCCAAACCTGTGCCCAAGACTAAAAACTTAACTTTTGGGTTGGAGAAGAGACACTGGTCATGAGTTGGAGGGAGACAAGTGTCCAGGTGATGAAGAAAAATTTAAGAAGCAAGATGCCCTCTGGCACATACCAAAATGTACATCAAAATTATTCCCCAGTTGCACACAACATATGCCAAATAAGTCGCGTGAGTAACATCACGTGGAAGTAGCTGCAGTTGAAAATCATCACTGTTAGTTATTCCACAATACCCATATATATTATATTGGATACTGAGTACTTAAAAATTGTTGTGCTTTCAAAAATATATTATATATATATACTTGAAATTAGGCAAAGCCCAGAATGTGCGAAAGTGAAAATGGTAATTTAGCCTGGTCAATGTGTGTTAGGGCAATGAGTCAATTGCCTTAATGAGTTTAAATGTTGATCGTGTTATGTTCGGTTTAATCAACTGTCATGTCTACGCGAACATAGGTTGTTTGAATGAGGAGCAACTTTACCCATCTGTCTGGCATTATTTGTCAAGCTATTGACCAACAATCGTTCAACCATGTAATGAAAAGCTGATGATAGCTAATTAGTTGGAATTAGTGTAGAAAAAACCAAAGAATCATTTAGAAGAAGATCGTAAGACAAAGTGTACAGAAAATTTACGGCCTGAACAAACAGAACATTTTCAACTCCCAAGGAACCATTTCTGAAAATTATGCAAAAACACGAAGACAAACATAGAGAAGGGAATTAGTTGAATACCCGCACAAAATGTGCTAGCTCCCTTTGTTGAAAAAAATTATCGCATCCAAGCATGATCGGAATTTGAAAAACCATAAAAATTACATTATCTTATAAATTAAAAGCACAGAGGAGAAAGAACTATTATGCAACCATAAGCCGAATAACAGCTTGAGGAACAAAAAAGGGAAGCAATGTTAAGTTGATCATCAAGAGAATCTTGGTGCAAACCACCATCCAGGAATGCCACAATTCCCTAGCACCACCAACTTGAGGTACCAGCTGTAGGAAAGAAACATTACAAAATAGAATAACTACTTCTCTGTTAAGGTTCCACTCCCAGATGTTACCCAGGAACGAGATGGAAGGATTAAGGGGACTAGAATCAAAGATTGAACTAAACTTATAATGGCAGTCCTGAGCATACCATCAAGGGAATAAGTTTTCCCAATGCAGGCACAGCAAATGCAGACTGAACACTAAAAAAGTTTGAGGCTAAAAATATCCTCGCTTTTTTTTGGGGTATGAAAGGGGCTAAAGCCCAAAAGCTTAGGAAAGAACAAAGTGAGCAACACCAGACATAAATCAAAATGTGTCTAATTAGGGTTTCAAACTCCTTTCTAGAAAAAAATTTTTAAAAAAAAAATAAAAATAATCTGATGCATATAGTGAGGATTGAACCAAAATGGATGTAATAAGCAAGGAGGGTCCCATTGCTGTCTTCAGCCTTGATGTAAGAAGTTTCAAGTCTCTTCTCTTTCTGAGCCATAAAAGAAAAAAAGAGGCGGAAAAATAGAAAAGAGAAAGAGGTAACCCACAATTTGGCATCCACAATTCTCATTATCAGTAAAATCTTGATGTTTGAATGAATTGCTGTACTTACCAATTTCATTCATTAAAGAGTGTCTTCTCCTGAAATGGTTTGTCATTCCTACTGGATAAAGCTGTCTTACACCTAGGATTTTGATTAGGTTCTGTCAAAATTAAAGTTTCAGAGTATATTATTATCGACGAAGCAAAACTTGAAGTTCTTTTAATTTGAAAGGATACTGAAACATCCTAAGTCACTCGAAGAACTCCTCTGACCCAGAACAATCTACGCCTCCTGTTCAAATTCTTCGAGGTTCCTGTATCCAAATCAAACCATGTCCACCATTTTTTTATAGTTGAGAACTTGATTAGAAACTGAACTAATGATTTTTTAAGCAGCAAAACATATGAAAATTTTCAAAAATGATTCAATCTTACTTTTTCATTTCTGTCATGGCACCATGGCCATAGTCTCCGAACTGCCCAAGCAAGAAAAAGTTGCAATGAGAAACATTAAGCCGTAGACATATCTGGCCATCCAAGGATTGGAGGCCATTGTGGAACTGACTGAACCAAGAAGCCCTTCACAAGCTTGGCAAACCGGTAATGGTGATATTTGCTGTTGCCCTGCTCCTTCTACTCAGTGTTTGGCAATTATCTTCCAATCACATTTTAGTGGATTGAATTCAAAGCTAGTCTCTTCTTCTTTCCTGCAATTTCAAAACAATCAAGATTTTTAGGACATGAGAGTGTAGTGTTTTTTGACAGGTGGGGACAAGCGTCATGAAAATTTACAATGAGTGGACCAGTTTAAAACCTTGCTTAAGAACAAGCGGAACTTGAAGGACTGAAACTGAAAATGGATGGGGCCAGTGTTACAAACGGTTTTGTTTTTTATACGTTCATCTGAAACCAAATACACATGGAGAGGCAGAGCTAAACTGACGCTTTAGCAAAAACTTGCCCTTTGACAGAGGCAACTTACACTCAAACTCACTATATATTCAGAGGATGTATTTGTGCTAGTCTTATGATACAATTGTATTAGCAAAATTGAAGGCTTGCCCAAGGCTTCGCTTGTAATTGGCGTCCTCATGTGGTGGTGTGGAAGTTTGAGTCACGAAAACATAATGAGAGAGAAAACTGCGTACATCTTACATTGAGATGATTGGAACGATGCATTTAGAAATGAGAGGATCAAAATTTTAATCCAAGCCTAGCAAGGTTAGGTGGAGGCATAGGTACCTGACAGAATCCAAACTTAGCAGCAGAACCAGAGAAGAAA